CGACAGGACACGTTCCAGATGTTAGTCTGTGGCGCAGCTCAACGGTCACCGCATCCCTGACGTTTTGCATTCTTAATACCACGTTAAACGTTGTTGGATGTGCCGCACCGGAGGCCTGGCGGTGGGCCACTGCACGATTTAGTGTCCAAATGGTCTGTTTTACGGCAGACATGGGGGTGTGTTTATACAGGATCTTCTTGCTATGATGGTAATGTGACCAGAAAGTTATGAGTTAATGGTGTCGAAGCCACGAGGCAAGGCAGGGGTGTCGGCCATTACAAAGAGTACAAAATGGAGGCACAAATAGCGTCTCAGTGAAGACGGGCGCATCTGTTCATTGTGGGACTTTAAGAAGCATTGTCTGCAAGTTCGTTTATGTTCTTATAATACTATGAATGCCGTTATACTGTTAGGATTGCTGTTATAATGCTGTACATGCCTTTATAATGCTTTATAATGCTGTTAAATTGTTATGATAAATATGAGGCCTAGTTTACAACGAAGCCTACCACTTGCATTATTGTGAATGTTATTTGTAGTTGGATGAGTCAAGTGAGACTTGTGCCCATGTAACTTTAATGCGTTCTTGAGAGCAGGGATAAAGAAGTATCTCATCCACAGTTCAGTGTTACTTGCAGTGCTGTACATTTGGGCTGCAGTATGGTGATTACACAAAGTGACCTTATTTAAGATGGTAGATTATTCTCGTTGCATAGCTATTCAGTGCTAATGTAGGTTCCTGGTCCATCCAGGACCTATTATTCAGAATAAAGTTATCTCAGACAATGTTATGATGCTGCAGTGTTCATTAATTGTATTGATATTGCAAGTATTAACAGATGCTGTATTTTGTGATGTTTTTCCTTGAGTTTTACCTCGTTCTATTCATTCAATACGTTGGAGTCGGGTGTTCACCCTGGCTCTGAAAGTTTATTGAATGCGAGGTTAACTACTCGGATAGTGGTGCAACGCAGCACACAGCGAGACCGAGACACCGACTGACTCCACCGCCGAGTGTGGGTTTGGGGGCGTTGGGCAGTGCCGATGTCGGCTGGCGGTTCTGATTCAGCGGTGGGATGGACGCGATGAACCTTATTCCCCCCGTCGTTTAAACTCTTGACCTTCAGATTGGGCGTTCTGCCAGGGCCGCTACCATTGTCCAAGCATAATTGGTACAATAGTGAAGTGGTTTGACGTCACTCGGTGAGATGGTACATGAGGAGACAGAAATGGGAGTGCTGTTTCTACAGGGATTTGCTTTTACCTGTAACGTGTAAGCGCATTGTTTTAGCCTGGCAATCCCCTCCATTTCTAAACAGGAATGGGGAGATAATTGTCCGTGGATTTTTCTCTGCCTTGCGGAGGCGGCTGACCTATCTCTAGCACCGGTGAGAGGACTGTGGGGACGTGCGGATGCTTTTGATGATTTGTGACACTCGCTCCACTGAGGCACAGTCAACTGAAGGCCAAAACACGTGCTGAAAATTACTGATGTGGGATTTGTTGAAACGTGGGACGGGAGTTACCTCATATGCCAAACAGCCATAATAACCTAAGTTCAATGGCTAATATAGGTTAGTTAATGGATATCTTTTCACGTTTTATTTCCCACTTGTTTATTTAATATATCGCATACTAAGCCCAAACACAATGGAGAACTTCACTTTTTATTGAAATATAAACCTATGATAATTTGGACAATTTTGGCATGTGAATATGATTGCGAATTTCACACGTTTTATTTCATGTATATAACACTATGCTTAAACACAATAGAGAAATTAACTTATATTGAAATACGAAGCTATGAAAAAAAAAACGTGGCCGATTTTGGCCGATCTTTGAATGTGACAAATGAGCGTGAAACTTCCCACTTTGTTATTTCATGCACAGCATGCGAAACCTGCACACAATGGAGTTCACTTTGGTCATAACTGCATTGAGAAGGTTTAGATCTTAAGTTTTCGTGACTACAATGTCCCATACTCTTTGGTTCTTTCGGTAAAGTCACGTAGGTATAAAATAAAATAAATGAATAAAAACAATTATTCAAAATAAAATAATTGATTTTTTTATTTTATACCTACGTGACTTTACTGAAAGAACCAAAGAGTATGCATTGAGAAGCCCTACACACAGACTCTGTCCCTCATTACACTTGCATGGATGGTACAAATAGGAAATCAAACGTTCTTCTTAACATGTTTTATTTAGTGTATTGAATCGTGAACATTTTACATGCAAGATACTAAAACTGCTATGTAGAGTATTTCAAATACCCCAAAAATCTCTCCGGTTCCTTGTTTGTATAAATGTAAGAAAGTTGCACACATATCTGCGCGTAAAACAACTTTCATAATACCTGCAATAAGTACAATAGCTTCAAACAATGCACCTTCCCTGTAGTAATATACACATCACATCTCAATTATGCTGATCATATAGTTAGCAATAACAAGTTGTATTCGTCTAGAACATAATTTTGTCCATCCATTGAGTAGGTAGCAAAAATCTGTCAAAACTTGACCCTTCCCCCCCCTCCCTGGACGCACGCGGACTTTTTACCCCCCCCCCCCCCCGAATCCTATAGAACGGCCGATATTGAATACACGCAGAAACGATCAACGATTAATAATATTAATGTGTTTAAGCAAACAGATAGTCCACTGCCGGACTATCTAACTAATTTGAAGGCCAATGTAGACAAATCATTATTATCGAGGCTTCACCCCCCCCCCCCCCGCATTCCTATGCGTTCACTGTCAGTAGACCCCCCATACGCAAGCGAACGCATTTGGGTTAACCCCCCTCTCCCCTCCATGCGTACGTACTAAATGGATGGCCCCAAATATCGCTCGCCACTCATGTTAGCCCTAACTGGGAATTGAACCCAGGATGTGCTGCTATCCACTCTTCCAAAAAGAGATGTGACTTCACAATGCATCAGGACATTTACCGATTGTGGAATGAAAACCACTTCTACGCATTTCCTGGGTTATGTATGCACGTTGAACTGATTTTGTACCGTAGGTAGCCAACCGTGCTAATTGGAGGTGCGGGGAAGGATAAACTAAACACAAAGCAGTTCTAAAGAAATTAGTTTAACAAACACTAGGACTATGCCCACTTTCTACTTGGAGGCCACAGCCATCACTTTTTGTGTAGAGGTTTCATTTCCTTCAAAACAAAAAATCAGCATTGGTCCAGGATTGTTAGAACCATAACCTTCCCAACACAGGAACTGCCACAGAAAATCTAACTCCTTTTTTCGGACAATTGGGCGTTTTACGCAATTGGAAAACAAACCAGTTTTGACTCGAACGTTTCAAAAGAATAAAAGCTCATGATTGAGATCAATTACAAATCTTGATCGGAGAGTAACATAATTTAGATAGTTTCACGAGGTACGCTATAGAACCTGCAAAGTCGTTTTATTTCTCACCATGCGCAAAGACCAATTGATGCCAACACAGTGACATTAACAAAACCTGCGAGACAATGCTCCGTTCAAATTTCCCATCCCCGACGTAATCCAAAAATGAACACTCGACTGCTGAACATCAACAAGTGCCCCCTTACAATGGGGTCTTCCCATAGTGGCCTTTCTGCCAGGGTTTTTGTACAAGACCAACACGACCTGGGCAAAACATTTTTAACTGCCGAACAGTAGCACACCACAGATTTGCTTTGTAGCTACAGGGGAAGCCTTCTTAAAGTGAACCACCAAGTAATTACGAATGCAAAAGTACGTGGACACGTTTGATGCCATTGTTCTGTATCATACACGGATGAGCGCGGTTGGCTACGTACGGCTAAGAAAGATGTGCAACGTGCATGTAATTCCCGATTTGTATATTCATCTGAAAAAATCTGAACCTGTTTTAGGAATTCATATTAGGAAGTTCGGACCAAAAATCTGGATGTTTCTGAGCACGTGCCCCTTTCCTGACAAAAAAAACCCAACGTCGCGTGGCATCGGCCCACGCTGTTTTTCTCATTGAGAAGACATTTTAAATGAGTACATCACGTGTCGTTAAACACGCCACCACCCGACACAGCCAATTAGTATGGTGCCAATTCGTAACGAGTACAGCACACCGGTGCGTTGGAGAGTAAACCCACAACGTTTAGAATGTGGATTTAAAGCTTTCGTGACTGCAGGGATTCATCTTCTTGGTTCTTTCGGTAAAGTCACGTAGAAGGGAAGTAATAAAATAATAAAAATAAAACATAATAAAACAATTCTCACGACGTTTCGGCCACAACGCAAGCAGCCGTCCTCAGGTGAAAACCAGGTCCGTCGAGGCGACAGAGTCTGAATGAAACAGCACACGAGCTTGGAGTATATATATAAGCTGGGCGCATTGACAAAGGAATTAGCATATCAAAAGGAATTTAGCATATTTATGGGAAATGCAGGAATGTGATTAGTATTGCATATGCATTATGCAGGATTAACAGCATGATGCTGTTAATCCTGCATAATGCACATGCATATGCAGTACTAATCACATTCCTGCATTTCCCATAAATATGCTAAATTCCTTTTGATATGCAAATTCCTTTGTCAATGCGCCCAGCTTATATATATACTCCAAGCTCGTGTGCTGTTTCATTCAGACTCTGTCGCCTCGACGGACCTGGTTTTCACCTGAGGACGGCTGCTTGCGTTGTGGCCGAAACGTCGTGAGAATTGTTTTATTATGTTTTATTTTTATTATTTTATTACTTCTCTTCTACGTGACTTTACCGAAAGAACCAAGAAGATGGTTTAGAATGTGATTGACGTTTTCGCCGGTAATTACCACCAGCTTCAACAGGCGATAACCAGAATTCCCCCCAAAAAACTATCATGAACATTGGTCGTGCAAGCCTACGTGTTAAACCGAGTACATCGTGTTATCCGAAAAAGATTCACATCCGAAATCCAATTATGATGAATCCGACACGCATCTCTAGTACAACAGGCCACACTTTAAAAGACAACGACCATGAGCAGATGCTATAAAGTTTGTTTATTCTCAGTAACACGCATCGCGGAGGGTATCAGGACACGCCACGCACCCCATCCTTTGGACACTGAAAGTGAAAAAACGTGTCCACGTGTTGGTTTCGATTTGCCTTTGCCTCGGGGATTCGACAGCGGCGCACGCTGCGCAGAAATATACAAACGAGGATTGCCAGATCAGCCGGGAGAGATGAGGAGCGTTACAAAGAAAGGTTTCAACAAGTGAAACTGAAATATGGTGGATCGATTCCACCCTCCGTTTAAAAAAAAGTACATTTCATTTTTTGTTCTTGTGACTGAAAATGAATTGCAGTTCAGTGTTTGGTCAGAGGGAAATAAGGCTCGTTGTATTGTAACTCAACTTTGCAGACACAACGATCTTCCTGCATTTGATGTATACTAACCCACTACCACGTTCAGACAGTAAGGCTTATGTCAAATATTCGTGTGATGCCCCGACACCGGTGATGAGCAATGTGAACTAGCCTTGAGGCTGAATACTTTGTACACATAGTTGTAATGCTGCGAACGTTAAGCACATCAGACTTCAGATTATGTAAAAACGCAACAAACTCGCACGAGTCGTTAGGAAACACGAAAACTCAAATCAGCCCTTATGTGCTCGTATAGAAAAAAATGTCCATCAAATAATTGAGCCTATAAAACGTTGCATAACATTCAGGTCGATTATGTCAACAATGCAATTTCCGGTTTGAAGGCGAATTTACAACACTTTTTTTACAAGCTGATTTAATGTTAATACTTTTTCATTGACCTTTGGGATAATAACGTGACTGCCCAAGTTCACCAATGCACCATTTGCTGACATGTCCAATCTGGATGATACAAACGTGCAAGTGCTCTTAAGAGTATGTCCTCTGCCTTCGGAGCCATGAGGAACAGAGAAAACAAAAACATTTCGTAACATTTGTGACCTTGTATTCCATTTCGCGCCACCGCGTTTCATTATCCCGTGCATGCAAATCATGTGGCTGTACGGTAGAGTCGGGTAAAATGTAAAGCCTACGTGTGAAACTAAAATGTTAAAATGTGGACAAACTGCCACACCCGTTCCGAACATGTGGTTAATGCTTCACAAGTGTAAATATAGCTTGCTTGACTCCACTACTTGTGTTTTACGGTTATTGTACAATTGGGTGTATGCAACACTGGTACATTTGTACACCATGATTTCCATTAGATGGAACTGCACTGGGTTCTGCACTCGTGGTTCTGCACCTACTGGACATCTGTGAAAAAGAGGTTCGTATAACTCATCGGATTCCCTCTGCATCTTAATAATAATAAAAATATCATATCAAAGGAAACCACATTTGATATGACATTGACACTGTTCGTCTGCATTCTCTTGTTCCCAGTTGTAAAATGTCATTTTAAATCCAATTTTCAGATCTCTAGAGGGCTGTCAGGTTGTATTTGCCTCCAAGGCCGCATATATCACCCACCATACACGGCCATGCTCACAGATGAGTGTGCATGCCTCCCATCAGTTATAAGGGAACATTATTCCAGGCAATTGAAGGCATTGTTTTCGTGCACTTGTGTAAGAGGTGGTGTTGCAATGCCTGGGATAGAACGCAACGCAGAAACGGTTTAGTAGGGTCTGGTGTAGACGTACTTTGGTAACATGACGTCTGTGGTTCGATCTCGTGTGGTGAGCATGGATGCAGATGTGCAGTGTGTTGCGTAGGGTACATTTGCCAATTCACTGCGGTATATAATACAGTTCAATGTATTCACATCATGAAGGATAGCCGGTTATAATTCAACGCTCGGCACCGACTTGGACAGGTAACAGTTGGCACGTTCACCAAAACATAAACATTCCTCATAAATCCTGCCTCGAAATCATATACACTGTTCAATGCCTAACACGGCTGGCTACGACGGCGGGTCATACAAACTTGCATTCGCTATTCCCTTTGTGATTTAAATTGTCATGCCACGTGGGGGTGTGGGGGGGGCGGCAGCACCTTGGCCGCTACATCGTTGAGGTTCGTTAACCATCAAAAAAACAGTGGCCGGTAAATATATCCTGCAAGGTTCATATGCAAGAGTAGGACATTGCTTTCTGTCGGCGTCGTGGTCAATCGATCAATAATCGGCACGCTTTTCAGAAGTGAATTGGGTCGCGGGGGTAGCGACTCCACCGTCGTGGTCAGACGTTCCACATTGTAAAATGTACCCGTGAGTTTACTCTGTTGAGAATCAACGCGACAATAATCGGCCCCTCCCCCCACTTCTGCAATCAAAATTGAATTCCCTGAATTGAAACGCACATGGCTGTACTCAACTACCTCTATATATTAAAGAAAAGTGGGATAGCGCGCGACTGCGCTGTGCGCACAACTGCGATAGGCAAAACACGAACTCGTTATCGTTGAGAATAAAAGCAAATCCGTTAGGTGGCGTTGAACACTTTTCAGGACAGCCCAAATGTGTCGTGCCCGTGCACAGAGAGCACGGCGGGTGTCACCACGAAGTGAGCCTCACTCCCCCCACCCCACCGCGAGGAGCAGTGCCCGTTCATCCAATGCCACGTTTCCACTGGCAACATTCGAGCCGCGCCAGCACGGGGGAGGACCTCACGGTAAGGGTTTTTTTTCTTTCCCACTGGTGATTTGCTGGGCCTCACCCAGAACTGAACCCTGATACAGCTTGGCCTCGAGACATCTGAATCTGCCTCTGGGCTATGCCGGGGCCACAGATGTGGTGAATCATTATTTTCGTCACACGTTTTGTCAGTCAAGACAAATAAACGGTATGACGCGGTGACACTGCGTCCACCATCAGCGGCTATGACGCTACTCGATTGGTTCTTCCGCTCGGTTGTGTTAAGTTTACAAACGACAAGACAAAGAAATATAAAATGAAGGCTTTTTATACAATTTATGCAAACCTAACCGACCATTACATTGTCTTTAGAGCTGCTTTTTGTGTTTTCATTTTGTTGTCCTTCCCCCGCGCCTCTGATTAGCGCGGTGAGCTACGTACGATACAATATAAGTTCAACATACGTATATACATTTGAAGTTTGCTTAAACGAAATATAAAACCAATAGATTTTACCTTCTACTACCACCCACCCCCTGGCCACAGCTACATTTCTACCCAGGTCACTCTTGCACATCACTTATCCTGGCTTCTTGAGTTCTCACCCCGAGCTACCCAGTAGAGGGATGCCATCCCCGAGGTGGACCACAAAGGGGTGCAGAGTGGGAGCGGCAGGGGCACAGGTATGGGTTGTATGGGTGCATTCTGGCCTGTAGATGCATTCTGGGGCTGTTCCCAGTCACGAATGGGAAGAATCGGCCCATTTTAAACTGCTCATAAAACATCTCATTTATGTTCTCAATGTACACACCAATATTAATGCTGCCAGAGACAGATTCGTCACTGTGGGATCCTTTCGGAGGGTGTCTATGGCAGATGACAACTATTTAACATCGACAAGATGCCGGTGACAGGGTGAGAGCTGTATGCCCGGTGCCATAAATGCAAGCACAGAGCAGAGGTCGCAATCGGGTACCTGATACCCGTACCCTACCCGATACCCGTACCCGGCCGGATACAGGTACCCATTTGCGACCCTGGTGCGGCCGGGTACGGGTAAGCCGTGAGTCACTGGTGAGTAACCGTTTGTCACTCATTTCGGGTAGGGTACGGGTAGCCGGGTACGGGTACCCTACCCGTACCCGGCTATCCGTACCCGGCCGGGTACCCATTTGCGACCCTGGTGCGGCCAGGTACGGGTAAGGACTCAAAACCCGTTTGCGACCTCTGGCACAGAGGCACCTCGTGTGAAGGCAAATGCCCGGCAATGCACTCATTCCCAAGCCAAACACCCGTGGCTCAATCTGCGCTAAAAAGGAGCGACCTTATGCTCCAGCACAGTTTCGTGCCCAACCGTGACATGTAGTGTGTTGCTGTACAGTTCACGAACGGGAGATATATTAATACCGCACGTGGACATACGGCACTCGCTGCACAATTCTGGGACGCGTGCAACCTCGGTGTCGTCGAAGACCTTTTCGGTGAACATATAAAACACTCGCATTGCACGAGGATGTGCAGTGCCTTTTACATTCCCCACGATCAACACACGTGACGTTAGACCAACGTATATCTTCGCGCATAATTGGATGGATATTTATTATAAATCGCCTGGAATGGTAAATTTAGTGATGCAGCCACCGCAGTGGTCCAAATCAAGCGAGTGCCAAGGGCCCCGATTGTTTCCGCTCGCCACAAGTAGAAGACACTTCGGTGCGACTCCCATATCCGCCACACTTCCTGGAGATGCTGGATGTGTGAAAAAAAACCTCTTTAACAGCTTCGTTGCGTTGGTTAGAATTCACATTGCTAACGGGCACTGCCTTCCATAGCATCGCGACATCTGCAATAATACCTTGTACCATGAAAAGACATTCGTAGCTGACGTGTCAGGATGGCAAAGAAACTAAATGTATTCCAATATAAAAAAAAAAGGCGCAAAGTGTCAAAATATATAACGAGCTGGAAATCCGGACGCTGCAATAAACACATCTGTTGCTCTTCGCCGCACGGCAAGGCCGTTCGCTGCCTCACGAGGCCACAGAGAGCGGGGCCGGAGCAGAGGGCCCACTGGGCCGTGCAGCAGCTGTTGAGAGCCACTGCGGAACGCTACGACGGGCTGCGACCTCGCACGACGCGTCGGATGCGTGAAGATGCAAGGAGAACATTTTCAAACAGCTCTGCTTCCCCGGGTGCAGAAGCTGAACGGGGTGAATGGAACGGAGATGAAAACGGAGCTGAACGTCGCGCCTCTGTGAATGACGACGGGGAGCAGTTACCGAGCGGTGCGCTTTAATTGGATTCAAGTGTGATATAGTGGAGTCCGTGGTTCAGCATTGCGCAGTGTTGTGTAGAATGTGTTGTGTTAAGTGTAATACAGCAGCAATCCCAGTGTGATTCATCATTAACACCAAATAATAATTTGCATCGCTGTCGAAAATACGAGCAACGAAACAAGCAATGTGCCTCCTTCACATTTCTGTCCTTTCTTATATTCTCCACGCTGCTCATGATTATTGTGTAATTTCTTATTTAAATAAAAACTCAACAATTTTCTTGTATTTAAGACATATCTCTAACAGAGGATTTTTGCGCACAAATGGCAATTCAGCAGCACCTCCGATCAGCACGGTGGGCTACGTATGGTGCAAATGAAGCTCAACATACATAAGCCTGACTGGGCTGCTGATGAGACGGTGAATGTTGAAGCTGTCCAGTTTGCTTGTGATGGGATATGTAAAAAAATATATTTTACACGGAGGGAGAAATATATGACGTATCGTCTGCTTATTTACTTTGTTCTTTATATTCTCAACGACAATGGCAAATGATTATTCTGCTCTATATGATGTGTTGCAGCGTTTGTATACACAGCAAGACTCTTGTGAAACCACACCACACAGCACATGCACCACCCAGCACGAGTGCTGGGCGATGTTTCAACCGAGGGTGCCCGTGGAAGGCAGCACAGAGCCCTGTGGCTGTCTCCCTACATCCTGCTGCACTGCTTCTGCACCACTCCCCACACCCACTCCCCCCTCTGGCACTCAACACGATAACCCTGTCCTTCTGTGAACAATCACTTTCGTCATCAATAATGCTCCCTTACCCGCGGCGCGTAGGGTCTCCCTCATCGAGTGTGGTTAATAAAGTCAAATACAGAAGGGTGGGGGGAGTGTGTGGTTAAGAAAAGTGACACCTCGTGTTTAAGTCGACGGGTTCATACACGGTTTAGTGTGCGCTGCGTTGCACCACAATCATTCGTAGCGTCATCTTTCACGTACTCCTCGTCTGCGAAAGAAACCAAAACGTTCCCTTCTCCGCAGAAGACAGGCGAGTGATGAATCCTTCGGGGCGCCCGCCACCGCGGCGCCACATTGGACGATGACGCGGCTCGTTGGGACGCGGCTCGTTGGCTCGGGCGGTACGCGAGGAGTCGCCCACGCTGCCGCGTGCCGTGCCGCGTGCCGTGCCGGCGTCGCCCGCGAGCTCTTAGTCGAGCGGGGTCGGGTCGGCCATGGGCATGGTGTGCAGCACCTGGTCCAGCAGCTGCAGGGCGCGGTGCAGGTGGATCTCGATCCAGCACGGAGTCTGCTTGATGCTCTGCCGCGGGTAGTCGGGACCCCAGCCCTTGACGAAGCTGAGGCGCAGGATGCAGAGCCGGCGAAGGTCGTCCACCCCGATGCCCGCTGCCGCCGACAGGCCTGGGAAGAGGGGGGGGGGGCGGCACGCCTCTGTCAGTTGCGTGAGGAATAATGAAACGAATGACGTTGTGGTGTCACGTAACTATCGTGCTGTCAATTATTCTGGAACATTATTTTTTACGAAGCACTAGTGTAATTGGTAACAGCCATTTCGCTCCGTTTAGATTTTTGTGCCATTTCTATTGCATACATGTTTCGTGAGACGATAAAATATGAAAAAAAAGCGACGATAATCCCAAAATAATGATATTTTGCAACAACAATAAAACCGATACAGTGATCATCGTACGATCCATCATATTACCATATTGTGTCAGGGAGGGTGGAGGCTAACCAGTTTGGCAATGTGGCTTCTGCTCTATCATCATGAGTTGGTGACATGTCAGAGACGTGAGGGCCCATTGAACCTAACAATTCTGAGCCATAATCATCACAGATGAAGCATCATGAGTGACGAGCACAACCTAGTGGCTGATATCGGCAACAAGTACATACAAAAGTCCAAATCTCCTCCCAGTTACAGCAAAAAAGAGCACCAGTAATGTAAATACCTCATTTCTATTACATCGGCCAGGTTCTCCAAAGGGGCAATCACTGTTGGTTTCCAACAAAGTGGTACTCATTTTATTGTCCCCAGAATAATGATGGTCCACCAAGTCACCCACTATCCCTTCCCGAATGGAGTTTGAAGCTCATAATCGTGAGTTTATTGGACCCATCATCTCTCCAAGTTATTTTTTTAGCAAGGGACTTTATTAAATTTTTCGGAGATGGCAGTGGGATTTTCACCATGGTTTAGGACGCCGACCAGATGAGTAGCTTCCCACACCTGTCTGTGTACTGTACACGAATGCATACGAGCATAACGTGTAACAACAAAAAGGCTATTTCTGCTATAACTTTGTTTTACCGGGTAAGGCTCACTGAGCTATATTCCTTTTTTCAAAAGCAAATTGGCCACAAATGATAGCTCAACAAAGTGGCATATCATGCAGACATTTCTAAATGTAGAGGGGAAAACCCAGAGGACCCTGAGAAAAATCCAAGCGACTACAGAGAAAGAGAGACATGCAAACTGGAAATATGCGGGTGTCAGGGTCGGGATCGAACCCACGACCTCCTGTATACCAGGCGAGGTAGTCATCTCTACTACCACCAACGTTCGCATAGACAATGCTGCGTTGCCAACGAAGATGGCAGCTGCCGCTTACTGATGGCAGGAGCGATGCCCCCAACGGAGCCCGGCCCGGGGATGTTTCCGGCCACCGCCGCAGCCTGCGCCGCTGCAGCCGCCTGCGCCGTGGCCGCCTGCTGCTGCATCTGCCGGTGGCACTGGCGAAGGTCGAACACCTGGCGGGCACAGCGGAACGTCCAAGACACGGAAACGCTCGCACGCAGCGGGCGATGCCAGAATTGCGAACAGGTCCTCCCGTTTCAGCCTTCGATAGAGGAGTTAAGGTGACGCGTCACGCCCGCCGTGGTACCTTGATGTAGGCGCCGGGGTAAATCTTGTGCACCGCGTCTCCCGGCGCGCGGCCTGCCTCGCGGTCCAGGTAGTAGCTCTGCACGAAGACGGCGTGATCGCTGAGGCAGCGCACCCACACGTCGCCCTCGCCGCGGCACTCCAGCTGAACGCCCTTGCCGATGTGCAACCTGCCAGCGTCACCCCGTCAGTTTGTACGCAAACCAAATGCATCCGCTCTGTGCAAGCAGTGAAACATCATCTGATCTGTGGGCCTCTCGTTTATTTATGGCGGCTGAGGCTAAGTTCTTCCCATCATCCACATATAAGCAGATAACAGAAAGCATTCGGAAGAAGGCAAAGCCGAATTTTTTTTCAATGGTGCGTTTTATATCGCTCAATACATAGCCCAGGGTGTCATAGGCAATGTGCCCATAGCAACTACGATCTCATGGCGCGGTGACGTGGCACAGCGGCAGCGTGTTCGCCGTTGAGAGGTTCGCGGTTCGAACCAGACGAGGAGAGATCCGAAACAGGAGGCCGTCGCGTGCCAGTGTCAAGGTCCAAATATTCCCAAATTAGAAAAATGACCAATAAATTACAAATATAAATAGCAATCGTTGGCTCCAACTGAGATTAAGTGAAGCTGTCCTGGGTGTAAATAATTGTAATAATTACAATAATAATCGTAATCCCTTGTTATCACATCAATCTCTCTGGTAAATTATTCTGCCACGTAAAATGTCGAGGCGTTACAATCAAAATGTGTACATTCTTCAAAGGCCATGGGCGTTTTCAGTACGTTACATGAGAGGTTTGTGTTATGATGGTGTCGGATGAACAATTACAAAGGTTTAGAGTACACTGTGATAATTAGCAGGTCTCCAAGTCACTCTTGGTTACTACTGACAAATCTTTGATCTTAATTATATTTAACTCCATCTGAAAAAAAGTGTCTTTGCAAACTTAACTGGTATCAAATGTTTGATTTTCGTAAGCTTTCTCTTCTGTAACCCAAAACTTTAAGCCAATCTAGTCGAGAAGATTAACGTGCTCATCTCGTTCATTCAAGAAAATAAGAAAATCAATACAAGAGAACATTCCATAACCGGTGACACCGGGGAAAAAAAGAGAGGGCCTTCCTTTATGAGTAACAATATTCCCATATAAGGCCCGCGAAATTATTTGGTCTGGCCCTGCCAAGGCAACCGCAGGCGGGACTCGAAATTCAATAAATCTAGGAGCAAACCTGGAAAATCAGTTGCGAGTAGCAACATCATCAATACCAGCTAACATCACACGCCTCACCAAAGAGAAGCAGTTCCAGCCATCACATTAGGGGTGAGTTAATTAAATGTTTGACCAAATATAACAGGCTAATTTTTTAGTTGATAATTTAGTATGGCCCGTGAATGATGTTATAAATATCCAAATGGCCCTTGGCAGAAAAAAGTTTCCCCACCCCTGGGTTAGGGGAAGGGTAGAGTAGGGGAGGGAGGCCACAATAGGGGGTGCGTGTCTGGGTTATATCAGAGGATTCACCTCTTCATCTAGTTGGTTAGGTTTGTGTTTAGGACATTTAAATATGGGGATTAAAAGAAACGAATAATTCTAATCATAATATTTTAGAAAGTAGTTTTGCTGGCTGACTGGCTTCCTGGCTGCCTGACTTGCGGACAGATGAGCGCGCATGTGCGGTGGTGACATCACCGCAACAAGTAGTTTCCTTAGCAGTTCTTTAGAACTGCTTTTCATGTTTAGTTTGTTGTCCTTCCCCCGCACCTTCTCCCGCAACCGATTAGCACGGATGGCTACGTACGGTGCGAAAGAAGTTAAACTTTCATGCATACCACGCACGTCCACGTGATGAGGTCACCCGCATCCCACAGCGTAGGGGCAGGGTTCATGCAGACGCCCCCCCCCACCCATACTCCACCCTGGCCATGTATTCCTAGCAAATGCGTGGGATATGCTATACTATTATATCATACGCAATGAGAAAAAAGTGTGGCTGGCTCGTTGGCTGACGGGGGAGGGAGGAGTCGAAAGAATGTGTGGGTTTTCGATTTAAAGCTTTCATGACTGCAGGGATTCATATTCTTGGTTCTTTCGGTAAAGTCACATAGAAGGGCAATAATAAAATAATAAAAATATAACATAATAAAATACAATTCTCACGACGTTTCAGCCACAACTCAAGCAGCCGTCCTCAGGTGAAGAAACAGAGCTGTCGGAAAGAGAGCGTCCTGCTTGCGTTGTGGCCGAAACGTTGTGAGAATTTTATTGTATTGTTTCATCTTTATTATTTAATTATTTCCCTTCTACGTGACTTTACCGAAAGAACCAAGAAATAATGTGTGGGCTGTTAGTTTCGTTGAAAAATATTTGTCAACATGTGATTACAACCTGACTTTCATGGCTCACGGGAGTGTTTATCTGGCGAGGAGGCAATGCTGGTAGAGCCACACACAAGTTGCGAGTTCAAATCCTCCAAGGGTAGAGAGAATAGCTCTCACCAACAGAGGATTTTTCTTTTTTAACAACGAAAGTTTTAATCCACCGGTATATACGTTTTATTTCCCTGGCTCTGACATCACCGGTAATACAAGCAGCGGTTTCCCTATAACCATTCGCCATGGCAGCGGCAGAGCACAGGTGAACGCACGCACGCATGCTCACCTCGCTCTCTCGCTGGCATCGGTACGGTGGACGTTGGACAGCTGGCCCAGGCAGAAGCGGTCTCCTCCCGACGGGTCCACGTAGCCGTCCACCGTCACCACGGGGCAGCTGGAGGGCACCTTGAAGGTCTCCCCCACTTGCACGTCCATTTCAAAGTAGGCGATGGAACACCAGAACTCTGGCCCCGCTGAAGGTGTTCAATGCAAACAATACACGGGCTTGACGTTGCACAGAGTTCAAATGCATGCAAGGTAACTTCCAATTGAGATCGGTGGCGGGTCATTTGTTTAGTCAAGGGACACCTCAAAGAGTCCCGTTTGGGCTGTTCTGCTATGTCCTTGGCCGCCTGACAAAAACCCACACGCGACGGGATAACTCAGAATCCACATCCGGTACTGCAAAATACCCAGTGGGCGATGTTCACACCGGACCCCCTTGGCACGGTGTTATGTGTCACACCTCATGCACCGTATGATGCCTGGACGTGTGTGGATAACCTCGGGCCTGCACAATCTGCACAATTCCAGGCTGCAGCTGCACAAATCCAGCCTGCAGCGGAGCAGTGCTCACCCTCACTCCCCCATGTGCCTTCACGGTGAAATAGCCAAACATAGCCATCAATTGAGCATCTCGCAAACACGAAGTTACTGTGCTCTGTTCGTTTTTTGCATCAATGCACCCAGCGCTGTGTCGTACCTGTGACCTTTCACAGGGTAAGGGCATGGCAACTCCCCCTCCCATCTGTATATATTTACTAAATTTAAGCCCGGTCGGGATGACATTTTCATGCATTCAATCATTCAAACTGGGAATCTTTTGAGTGTCCACGAACTTTAAGCAGAATAACAGCAACAACACGTTCAATTGATTGTAATCAAAAAGTGACACCGAATGTCTGTAAAGGTGAAGCCCTGTGCTCGATTTTTGACGCCAATGCTGGCGGGATGGCCCCCCTCTGCCGCCAACTAGGAGGGTATTTGGCCTACTCTTCCACACTGGTCAGATGTCTTGGAAGAGGTCGAAGTACCCAGACCGTACCTCACCAGACGCGACTGCTGGATGTGTCTGTAATATTTATACATTTATAAAAAAACTGTATAAACATGAATTTCCATAAGCATTTATTATTTGTAATTTCCTGGACCGTTGCTTGTAAAACAGACACAGCGCCAAACCCTCGCCAAGGCAAAGCAACGGAACGGCTTCACACCGCACAACGCTTGCAACAAGGGCTCCCATGTGGTTTTTACGATAGGGATTAAGAAGGCCCTCGTCGCAACGTATCAATCGATGTATAGATGCAGGTACAAGCCCCTCACCCGGGTGTGCAGAGATTGGCGGCTGGAAGGTGAGCTCGTTGTGATGAGACGGCCCTGAAATTAAAGGTTCCAGACAAACACGTTTAGGCACCTCGACTCCTCGTAAAAACACACGTACACACCGTTCAACACGCAGGCTTTCACGACCAATATTATTTATAAAAAAGGTGTCTGGGTTAGATCGCGTAAGTATAAATGTGTCGTAATCCTCCACCACCCGACACAGCCAGTAAGGTTTGTCACATAAACAACGCGCCAATTAGTTACTACTTCAGCCCACCGGAGTGTTTGAGAGTAAATCGACAACATTTACAACTTGAGTAGTACGACGTTTCGCTGGTAATTACATCCAGCATCATCGGGCGATTTGCCAGAATAGTGAAGCAATCCACCGTGCAATCATAAGAGGCGGTAGATAATTTTAAACGTTTGCACACTCGTCGAGTGTAAAGGAACCCGCTGGGTGCGAAAGGGACACGTCGAGTTGACGAAATTGCGACGTACGACCCACGGGGCTCTATCTGAAAGAATAAAATCTCGACGAACTGGAGCATGAACTCGGAAATAAGCTGAGACATCGTTGGCATCAGCGAGGTGAGAATAGGAGGGAGAAGTGCATTTTCATGCATTCAATCAATCAAGTGCAAATGTCCTAAAAGCAGCAGACACGTTTGAGTTAATTGCAATAATTATGGTAACGAAAGAGATGGCTGAGAATCGTGCAGGAGTCGAATTATTCGTCTCTCTGTGAATTATACAGAGAGACAGGATCAATAGAGGAAGAGGGTTGATGTGGAACAAAGCAAATTTAATGTGGGCGGCAGACTCCAATGCATTCGGATTCTCTTCCAATAGCACCATGACTCTTTTTTGTAAAATGTTCTGATCATTCAACTTGCTCGTACATGCTTTTGCAGATGCCAATGAGTCATTTTGTTGCCTTGTTCCAAGGATTTTCAGAGACTCTACAGCTACCCCATCTATATACTCTGCCTTGCTGTTTCTTATTGTCCTTATGGTTGCTGTTGTTTGGCTGTCTAAAGTGTCAGGCCCGTTTGTATCAGCTTCTATATCTTCCTCTAAACCTCCAAGCTTGGCCTTCCTTATCGTAACGTGTCTCAATGCACTCCCCTTCAATCTACATCGAATCTCCTCTGGCTCTGTCAATATCTCCCCATTCTTCGCCTTTATTTTCCCTTAGCTTGTTTCTCGTCTCAAGATATTCCTGCCACCTCCTTTAGTTTCGCAGACATCAGGTGTGTTTGTTCTCTCCCGTCAAGCTTGTCATTATTACGTTTGATCAGACTCCTTCTACTCCGGCACTAGGCCACGAGTCTTTCTGGATAATGGAGGGAGGAGTCGGAGAAGAGGAAACCCAAACGAGAAACCCACCGTTAAGTTATTCATTCTTTTCTGCTTTTCATAAATTGGCAATTTAAGGTCAGGTTTAATACGTTGAATACATCCTGATCTGTACGATCGCTGTGCTTAGATTTCTATTTTTACAATACCCGCACTACTGTTGCCATGGTATTGTTGTTGACAGCAGTTGGTTCATGAATAGCAAAATGCAATGCCTGTAAATCAGTAAAATTAACTGCAAAGATGCTGCACTGCAAAAAAACTCAAATAACAAACAATTGCCAAAGCCAGCCCTCGTAAGCACGCGTTGCATTCGCAGCCCACAGTCCAGAAACAAACAGCGCTTGATGCCACTTCCATCCCATTACGCAGAAAGCATCTGCAGCAGACATTTGGCGTCCTATTCACACAAGAATGAAGGTCTGCATAAAGCCTTGGGCTATTGTTATTTCCTATTTGGCAGAGCAGTTCAATACAGGTCAGGTCCCCCGATGTGAACACAAATGAACCGCCCCCCACTTGCGCTTAGCCCGGCCGTCCCCAGCCGCCACACTGCCGTCTCTTCACCGCCGCCGCCGCCGCCGCCAATCGGGTGCGCGAGCGAGCGGTACACAGCCGCACGAGCGCACGGCACGTCCTCGCTCGGGTTTTAGTCAAAAAGGGGTCGCTTGAGTTTCGTCTGCCGAGATGTGTCATCCGACAAAAGGGAGCGCTCCCAAACGGAACACGATGTTCAACGGCGTGTTTTTCCGGAGAGCGCCGGGGAATGGTAAACACTTGAATTACAATGCACGACGTAAAATAATGCCTTTGGCTCTGAACAAAAAACAATCATTGAAATTCTGTAAAGTAAAACAAAAGAATCAATGCAATTACAGCCAACTATGTTGAAATCCTTTACATGTAGGATGTCACAAGGTGTTTTGATAGTAATCTTTATTTAAAAAAATAAGTTATTACATTATTTTCTAAGGGTTGACGCCACCACAGATTCACAATTTACTCTCATAATTTGATGTATTGCAATTCTATACAGTTATGTTAATGGTTTGTAACAAAGGCTGTGCACGAGACTCTGATCATCCATTATTGAATTGCCAGATGATTTTTGGTTTTCCTAAAGCCACAATGCGTCACTAACAGCAGCGGACTAACAACAGCGGACTACTCTTATCCACCATCATTGAACCTGAACACCCCTGCGTGTGCCATGGCAAGCAGATCTCTGTGCTTTTTTAAACTGATGGTGGACATTCATTCAATTTAAATATTGGCTATTGTGTTTGGCACCGATTACTGCATTGATATATACGTGCCGAATCTCGCCTAAATGCATACACTGAATGTTAGATATTAAATATACCAAAAAAAGGTATTAGTTTATTAAAAAACGTATATGCTTTTAATCCAGATATGGTGTTTACAGATCTCTTTAAAACATAAATGAAGGGAAAATAATGTAATTTGCATATTACAATTTTAACAGTGTTAACACAATAAAAATGTGCAATATTTCAAACGTAATTTGACATCTTTAACTCTCTCTAGCCACGCCGCACAATTCATAAAGTAACTCGCATATAACCGAGGCTTCCAAAATGGAGCGTAATGATGCGTGACATAGCGTATGTCACGCATCATTATGACATACACTTGCCTGGCTTTAAGTTTTCCCTGTGGTAATCACCTCTGTGCACCACTCAAATGCCTGTCTTGGGAACCTGCCAATCCAGCGTAGGTGCACCTAGCCATTGCAACCTCCTCTTGTTGGGTCAAATGTTTTTTTATTCCGATTTGTACCATTCATAAACTTTCAAGTTGCTTACCGTGTCCTGCCATAAAATCCTCCAAAGGCAAAACACAAATTTAATAGTTTTTTGTTCCTGTTAAAATGAGCACGAGGCAATTGACATGCCCTTAGTACAGGTAAGGCAATATGCAATTTAAAAATGGGGTTTCCTTATTAAAATACGAAACACATTTAACGACAATTTAAGGCTTTCGTGACTGCAGGGATTCATCTTCTTGGTTCTTTCGGTAAAGTCACGTAGAATAGAAATAATAAAATAATAAAAATAAAACATAATCAAATAATTCTCACGATGTTTCAGCCACAACGCAAGCAGCCGTCCTCAGGTGGAGGTGGAGAACAGGTCTGTCGAGAAGACAGAGTCTGAATGGGGTGTGTCATTCAGACTCTGTCTTCTCAACAGACCTGTTCTCCACCTGAGGACGGCTGCTTGCGTTGTGGCCGAAACGTCGTGAGAATTATTTTATGTTTTATTTTTATTATTTTATTATTTACATTCTACGTGACTTTACCGAAAGAACCAAGAAGAACATTTCACGACGTCGGTACAGTGAGCCTCCGAGGGTCGATTATGCACACAGCCAGAGTCCACCGTGTGGGATGGGTGACACTCACAGTAGTGGTTGGGGTGGTGCAGGGGAGGGTGGTGCTGCAAGGGCCCGTTCTGGTGGTGGACCATCGACGGGGTGTAGGTGGCTGTGCTGCTGCCCGTCCAGTTTGTGACGCTACCTGCAGCAAGATACGCACACGCGGGAAATGTGACAAAAAGCGCACCGCTACTTCCAAACGTGGTGCGACAGATTCTAACACACAATGCAAAACGTTTGCAACAATACCGCCTAAATATCGCACAGATTTTAAATCAAAGCCAGCCCCCATTGGAGACCTCTGGATCTGAAGGATTGCCCATGGATATTTTCCTACCATAGCCGTGGAAATGCATCTCTCTCAATGACAATTATAACGTGTTAGCACATGCCATATTGTCTATAAAGGAGAGTGGGAATGACAACAATAATCACTGTACAATGATGGTAACATGCCACATCCTATAAAGCGCTGCACTTTTGAAGTTCTATTTTCTTCCCACCATTATTTGACGATTGGTTTTCTGAACCTGCATAGAGATATAGCCAAAGGGAACCACACACCTAAAGTGTCCGAGTTTGTCGATGGGGAAAAACAAGCACACAATGGGAGAATGTTGCATTTATCGAGCAAGCAGACACGTGCTTCTGTGGACATGGCCTTCGGTACCACTTTTCCACTCGTGCATCCGAGCCGAGAAAGTGTGCGGTCACCATGGTGGCTGAGTTGGAACCAAACCCTGATGAGATACAATGGTCAAAACAAGACATCTGTATCTCAGAATCATAATATTTATTCATACTGGAGGAATCCGATGAGCAATGAAGATCTTTTTCACAGATGTCCAGTAGACATTTGGCTAAGGGTTAAGCAGCCAAGGCTAGTGACGTGTTCATTGTGCGTAACATCAGTTGGTACACAACGTGAACACGTCACCCATAACCTACGTGTGTCCCACGTAACCTCACTCATTGCGTGTGTCGGCAAAGGCACGGCTTGGCTTCTGCACTGGGAAAACACTACCTGGCGCCGCCTCCGTAGCCGAGCTGAGCTGGCTCGGCACAGCCCCAACGTGGCTCGGTTGTACAGTGGAAAAGGGGTTCGAGTCTGCATACCCAGCAGGAATCTCCTCCGATTTTTAGTTCAACGCGTTTAAACAGATGGTAACCGGCAATTCACCAGCAGTAACGTGACCGTTATTTATGCTCCTATTGTGTTTTTCTTGGACCCAATGGTGAAACCTGCATGACAGCAATGGGGTTAATGGCTGCACTGACAGAAGCAATGGGGGGGGGGGGGGGGTGCACAAGTGGCTACATGCAAGCCCATAAAATTAGAAGAAGACAGAGAGTGGAGCTTTAAGCACAGGACTCACTGGCAGGTGGCGGTGTAGTTCCTGCTTTGGGGCTTACGTTGGTTACCTCCTCCTCTGAGACAGCAAGCCAAAGGACTTAAGCGTTAATGTGCAATTAATCAGGGTCGATTGGTAATTAATAATTGTGAAAATAAAAGAAAATGAATGCTACCGCGCGCCGGTTCCTCGTTCTGCACATCTTATTTTCTTTAAAAAAAAATAAAAATTTAGATTGACGCAAGGCAGTGTGTTAAATATCAGTTTTCAAAAAATGTTTCATCAACCGTGCTTTTCGGGCATAACTTCTTCATAGGTAGCTACAGCTTCGAACACCAGAGTACCCAGTGAACATTGCTTTAACAGGGTAAAAACCTCATCGTGACTCAATGAAATTGAATACGGTCTACGGTTGCCTTCTTTCAACAATATTAATTTGCCATTTAAAACGGATGATGCGTATTTGAGTTTATCATTAAACAGACTCACCTTACTTTTTTCTGTAATTAATGTTTATCTGAAAATTATTCAAAAAATTATTTAAATGCCATTGCTTCAAAATGGGCAGAAACATGCCAATTATGCAACCAGCGCAAAGTGCAAACATCTGGTGTGTATGAAAACCATGCACTCACTGTGGAAAGGCTGCGTTTGAGCTGCAAATCCGTTGGGTTGGTTGGCTTGTTGCTGGCTGCTCGATATGGGTAGGATCCTGTCTCCCTGAACCAAGGGCAGTAATGAGCCACTTTGGCCTGCAATGCATGTTAACTTAAAATTAAGAGGTCTGCTTTGACCATGGCCAACTATGTTAAATGTCATTATAATACAAAGGCCCTTACCACAGTGCAGTATGTTAAATGCAAAATCCACTTGCTGTGACTTAGACATCAGCTAGAGAAGACTAACATTCATATCAATTATTCTTGACCGGCTCGTGTGTTCAAATGACAAGTCCAAAATGTAGCAATACTTTTAATTGCATAGATAAAAAAAAAACATGGATTAATTCCTAATCACTACAATCAAATGTAAATGTGCAAATGGCAGCAAACAATCCTCATGGCAGTATCAGGGAATGAATAATCATAATAAAACATTATGCAAGAATGACATTTAAACAGAAGCAGCACATGCAGTTACAGCAGTTGAAGCAATATATTAAATTATTATTTGCTGACATTGGCAGTGGTGGCCTTTATTCATAGCACATATATCTCTGGCTTCTATGTGCTATGATGAAGGGACATTGCCCAACACATCACTTATTATATATATTTTAGAGCAGTGTTATTAACATGTGTTTAGTTGTCATTTAACGATAATGGGAAACAAAAATAACAATGTGCAGCTGAACAAAAAAAGCAGTAAAGAATTGTCATCAGGATGATGGCCTGGCACCTGTAGAGGACATTTTAGATTCTGCTGTCAAATATGCTGAACTGCTACTTTAATTATTACAGGATCAACCCAAAAAAAGGACAAGTATAGTTCACCCATTCTGTAGATACACAATTGTGTCGTGAATGTTGGGCCGTCTGACCCCAGTTTGAATCGTAATCGAGACGAACCACTAGAGCGCCGCTAGCGACATCCCAGCTACGCTGAAGTTTTCTCGCTCACGTTCACGACGTCAGAGCCCACGTGACCCTGGCGACGTTGACGGTGAGCGTACAATGCTGCAATGTGCTCCACGTTAGTATATGGAGCCCGGCAAGCAGCGGGGAAAGCCCCAATGTAATGGCTACATACAAGAATGTCCACCGGAATGCAACCGATCTCGTCAGCTCATGCAAGCTAAGCGGTTTTGAGCCTGAACTGTGCTTGGATTTGTGACCACCATGCACAAAACAGGTGATGCAGGCTTGCTGTGGGACAAATTTGTCAGCAGAGGGCAGTAATGTAATTATGTGCTTGTACTGGACTATGCTCCAACGTATATGCTTCCTACCTTCAAGCAACCCACACTGATCACGTCTGACATAAGTCAAGTTAACTTTCATGAGCCGCACGGTGTTGGGAGGCCCTCATCTAGCAGTGGACTCAAGGCCTCTTGCATGATGGCTGCACCACAACCCTGCAGCCAGAAGCATGGCTTGAATAATTACATTAGCAGATTTTTATTTACGGAAGCAGCTTTCAACTCGTGCCATAGATCAATATTACTTGTATTAATGGATATAAAAGCACCCGGTTATTTTATTGGATTGCTTCTTCATTCAATATCATTAAAATACATTAATAAACATTATAGCCAATTATAATTGTTAATAAGCTCCTGCAATCATCAGCAACTGTAATTAATATAGCATCCTTCCAGATAATAAAACAAAGTTCAGGATAATCATGGAGCTGAATGTAATTAGAAAACATGTAGTATCAACACTATAGAATGATTACATATATCGTGTCCATTGTCATACAGTAATGCATGGTAAATGAAACGAGAAGGACAGATGTGAACAGGATCACATCGGTGGAGAATGGCAAAGTGAGCACTCGAAAGGATAGCCTCAACATTCTCACCCTGGCATTTTTAACAACCTTGTAGTAAATACATTCTATCATTCAGATCTAAAACGTATTAATATTGTGCTCTACAAATGGATTTGCATGCAAAATGTTGTGTTCGTTCATATTCAGGAAGTACCATTAAAATGTTATTAAATGTACGTTCACTCGTGTTCTGGGCTCGCTTGACAACCGCTGTGATAATTGAAACATTTCTTCCCAGCAGCTTGTATTGCATAACACCCTCTCCACAGCAGCTACGATAAAAGCGTTCCCTACATCGGAGCCAGGGGGTTCGAGCTTTGTGCCAATAAGCCCCCACGTTTAGGTCAGGTCCTGAAGACTCTCAGCACGCTGCGGGGACAGACACCGCTCACCATTTGGTTCTATACTGAAGTCTGCCCTCGCCTTCACTTTGCTCAGAGAACCCAGAAAATAAATGTCAGCATGTTGCCTGCCACTTAAGTGCATTAGGAACAATTAGCTGGCAATCAATTGGCAGTATTAGAAGTGCCACAGTCAATTAACTACTTAGCTGGCAATAAAATGCCAACGGACACAGAGATAAGCACACCACTTAAAACAGTAATGGCCTAAGTATAAAGCAATGCTCACTAATTTAACAGGGTATGGTCAATACATGTTCATCTGTCAAATATAACCATTTTAATAAGAATATATGGATCTAACGTCATTAAATACAAAAAAGGAGTCAGTAAATGCAATCAATAGTTTTTTTTTAATCTACACTTGAGCAAAAAAGCTTAAAGCGAGGTTTGTCCTCAGCAAGCTCGAGCAGAATGAACACGGTTGGCCGTGTGTAATCTGCTGTTCCCTGCAGGGCCCTGGAGTGGGCAAGCGAGAGGTGCCACACTGCCATGGTGGGGTGGAGGTGAGCCAAGGGGGGGCAGCGGTGGGACTAGAGGAAGGTGCTTTGTGCTCTTTGCACACGCGGCCCCCTCTTTCCGGAGGGTGCATCGCTAAAAACAGCCTGGTTGGGCCCTGGAACAGTGTCTCGGATAGGATGAGACCCATGAATAAGATTTAACGTTTTTATATTTGTTTTATTTGTGTTCCTGTTTCATAGTGTATATCTTGTTTGCCTCTTACCTGTGATTCTTAAATATGTGTTTCTGTTTTAATGTTACGTCAGAAACACTTTGGCTGTGCTCTCCAGTTGCCTGGGTGAAAATTGGGCTACGTTTTTACAAATTCCGGCCCAGCTGCCTCAAAAAACAAACAGTGTGATACATCCTGATAGACCGTATTGTGCATTATCACATCACATTCTGGACTATAATGGTCAAGAGTGTCAAGAGAACGCTCAGTTAAAATAACCACCACCCGTAGGCATATACACAACACACGCACAAATAGCAAGCCACTGTTGCGCAGAAATCACCAGCAAGTGTGATATTTGTTGTTTAAAGGATAATACAACTAACATCTAAAACGGTCTCATGTTGTAGCTACACACCGACGCTCTGTGTCCAGGGCTAACTTGAATGTGAAGCTTCATATGACACAGCAAAAACTTTAACGCCACATCAGCCACGTCATAGAAGCACTCTAATTATATCATTCCCGTAGGTATTAATACGGCAATGTAGCGATGTCTCAAAGAGCACATTATGGTGTCTCAGCAGAAGAGCGGCTCAGGGCTGCGAATTCAAATCCTAGTTTAGCGTGTTGACTCAGCCCATCATCCCTCCAGAATCGTTAAATGTCTATCATTTTGTTGGGAAGGCAACAGTGGCTGTCCACTGGAAAGCCTTGCCTCCATCACAGGAATGTGAAACTTCCACCGCTGGTTCTGATATCTCATTTTAGTAAGAAATTACTTTGACCAAATAAAAAACAAATCTTAAATTCTTGTTACTGTTGAGGTATGGAATTGAAACTTCTTTCACACTGTACGAAGCCAACAGTTGAGAACACAACCCAGGTAAGTAACTACGTCATAAACAATATTTTGTTGGGGTCGCACGTTCAGTTGATACTCCGAATTGTTGGTAGGAAAGCAGTCTAACTTGTATCCTGATGTCTGCAACCCTTGTTGTAAACCATCAATGGTTAACGATCCTCTCTTTCTTCATCCGCCACCTCCTCATTTATAGATAATTTGCATGCAGGAGCGGACCAAGCTTGACCTGAATGATAAAACCGAAGGACAACTGCAAAAGGACCTTTATTGCGCATGTCAAAGTCTGCCCCGTGGGTGAAGAGACCGCGGCCAAACCTGCAGGCAGAGCGGGGAATCCCGAGGTAGATGTGGAGGTTGACGGCTCCCCGCTCGAGGAGGAGGGGGTTGCCGGGGGTTGCTGAGAGGAGGGGGGCCCAGAGGCTGGTCCCGCGGGCAGGGTGCCCCCCCCCGGCTGGTGCTGGATAATCTGTATGGACGAGTGACCGTCGGGGACGTGCAGCGAGGGGCCGGGACCCTCCACGGGAACACACTCCGGCATGAACTCTTCCTTAACCAGCCGCCCACCCGGTGCTGCAAGAGTGGGGGACGGCAACACAATATCAACGCCACGACGGCGAGATGTTAACTCCCTCGCTTGGTATGCGGGAGGTCGTGGCTTCGAACCCGACCCCTGAAGCCTGGATATTTGGAGTTTGCATCTCTCTCCCCGTGGTCGTGTGGATATTTTTCCGGGTCCTCCGGTTTTTCCCTCCACATTAAGAATCATGCGTTTAAGAGTATTTGGCTGCTGTAAATGTCCATGTGATAAGCCACTTAATTGAGCTATCATTTGCGGCCGGCTAGCTTGTGAAAAAGAGCTATTTAGCTCAGTGGGCCTTACCTGGTAAAATAAAAAGTTTTATATAGTTTTGGTAAAAATTACTTTATTTCGTCTGGATAAAAAAACCCATCAATGGGTATCAATACTTTTTTCAGCAAAGTGTCACACTGGGATATTTGGCGATTACCTATACAAGAATTTAACAACACAATTAGCTGGTGATCCAATATCCAGATGCCCTGATTGTAATTTAGTAGAAATAAAGGATGGGCACTTAACAATACATCAAGTGACCGATTACATTTCATTCTTACACTCAAATACATGCATTTTGTATGAATACAGAAATGCAGAGTAAATGTTGTTACATGTTGCACTTGGGCTAATGGAGAGGGCACAACTTTACCAATGAAACAAAAACAAAAAATCTAAGTAACAACCAGACCAACACAAACATAATATTGCGAATGGAATCGTGACCACAGATCGCAGCGATGTATTGAATGGCGCTGGGTGTTAGGGGCGGGTTGTTATCGGTAACACGATTCTTAAACTATTTTAAAGTTTAACAGACAAGGACAACACTTACGAGATCCATGAAGTGTTAGTTGTCCAAGGTCTGTGAACAGAACACAATCGACAGTAAAACACAAGTCAGAATACAGCACAAGAATATTAAACAATAGTGCGCGATAAAATACAACAAAAATGCCCTTTAATAAGGAGAGAGTTGATTGCGTCCAATAAAAAGCAATGTATCTACGGTTGCCTGGGTAGGTGTATTTACAGTGTGTAGAGATGGCCTTTATAATTTACTATCACACCTAATTCTCAAATGGGAGACCAGTCATTTGAAACTGAAGACATAATGGCCAATCCCTGTGGAATGATGATTTTCACCGGATATTTTTTTCCCATTTTACAGCAGTATGCTCTAGTTCATTCCCTGCGGAATTCAAGAGGTTACTGCGGGTATAGAACTTTTGACTCCCCGACATCTAGCTCCGTGGCAAGTAGACTAACAACTGTACCATCAAGGTGCTTCAATATGTGGCTACAGTAATCACATATAGTTTTTTAGAACTCTGCATACTTTCGACTGTAATTGTGCAAATCAATACAAAACAAATTTCAACCTTTGACACACCACACATTAATCGATTACTCTCGCGAAGCGACTCGGATGCGCGACAAAACACAGGCAAGCAGGAACGCAGTCACATGATGAAGCGCAAACAATTGCCCAAGCTATGCGGTACTCTATATATTAAGATGTTATCGGCCAATTAATGAGGAAATCGCAGCACTGGAAGAACACTCACACGTGCGACAAGAAAACACTCTATAATCTAACTATTGTTTCATGTAGTCCATAAAAAAATGAACTTGTTGGTAATAACCATTAAAACATTTCACTGCATTTAAAATATTTGCTTACGATTTCATGGGTTACACTAGCCTATTTAATTTTAAACCCATAGGTCTCTGCAAACAGATTCATAGATGAGATATTAAAGGCGTTCTAGTGTATCGTCAGACCATGGACTGAATGGCAGACATGGGAGAGAACTTCGCCGGAGATGAAGCGATGAAATAAGCTCCTGTGCAGGAGTTATATGAATTCGCAACTTGCGGAGGCTTTCCCCCAGCAATGTATAGACGGCCGATAACAATGAATGTATACCATAAATGCATACATCCTTCACACAATTAACATTGTTCTAAAGTCGTGGTTAATCCCAAGAGATCACTGCTCTATTAGTTCGACAAAAATGTGGAGAAAACTGGATGAAACACCGTGCGTCTGTGAATGTGTGACAAAGGATAGAGTACCTAAGCCAGTACCTAGGCCGGGAGACACGACCCGCTCGTAGTGGTACGGGTTAACGCAGACGCTGTCGGCCTTCAGGTCAAAGGCGTACTGGCAGAACTTGAGATGCTTCAGCTCATTCTTGTGCAAATCAGGCCACCTCCAGATGCGAGCATAGATCACGTGTGGGAAGCCTTTTCGACCGGCAACCTGAAACGGGAGAGAAAGGGCACAATAATTAAGACCGTGCGTACTGCTACACACCGAAATAAAAAAAGTTTTAATGCTCAAGGACGAAAAAAATAAGTGACAAAACACACTGGAAAGTCTTCTTGGTTCTTTCGGTAAAGTCACGTAGAAGGGAAATAATAAAATAATAAAAATAAAACATAATAAAATACTTTTTATGATAAAACATAATAAAATAATTTTTTATGATGTTTCATTTTTATTATTTTATTATTTCCCTTCTATGTGACTTTACCGAAAGAACCAAGAAGATGAATCCCTGCAGTCACGAAAGCTTTAAATCGAAATTTACACTGGAAAGTATTTTCCCATGAAGCCTTCATCAAGGCATGCTCAACATTCTGCTCACAACATGATTTCCTGGATGACCAGCAACACAGAAAATGCAAAGGTCTGACAATTGACTGGTAACCCTGCACTGCACACTCAATGCACCGAGTGTCAAGGAACAAAGATGCCCTGGTAGGGTAAATGTAAGTGACATGAAACCGAACGCGCACACGTGTCCATCTGCTACTTTAGGCACACATGATAAGCCTCGTAACCAGCAGATAGCTAACTGCCTGAGACTAAACCACCCAGAAATAGCCTGATCTCATCAGGTCTTGAAAGCTAAGGAGATTGTAAATCATCATGCATAAAAAGGCGCCATAGGCTGTGGCAGAGCTACATTGTCAGCAGAGGGCAGTTGCAGAAAAATCAATGTCTGTACTGTACCATGCTGTTTATGGATTCTTAAACCATAAGCTATTGGTTAAGAATTAATTGTAGATGTTCAACTGACTTAAATATAATTGAGGATTAATAGTTAAGCATTATCTGCCTACTTAAAAATACATCATTTATATGGCCATGAATGAAATCACAAAATTGTGCAAATATGTGGCATACTTGATCAGTAATAAAATGCTTGCTGAAACAGTTTTGCTGTGAACACCGACACATCGAGAGACACCGTGGCAATTCAAAACAAGTGAGAATCACAACGAGCCTTCTAAGCAAAAACTCATGAACTTCTAACACTTAAATACAATCGGTTTACTTGGGTACCGCTGGCGGCGGATGTATGATTGAAATGGAGGAATAGTTTTACTTATTACAAGCGTCTAAAATGGTTCACCATCACGCTGAATGAAATAAAGTGGTAAATTCAAAGCTGAACACTGATTTTGGATGGGAAAGTAAAATAAACGTTGGAAGAGGAAAAAAAAACAGAAATATGAATCTACTTAACCATCATAGATCTTAGGAGATCTTAAAAAATATCACATCAACTGGTCCCCTCAAATAACATTATCTGCAGACATGAATTATGGATTAAAGTTACGATGTTAAGGCCACCTATCATCAAAGGGAAAAATACCCAGAATACTTTACAAACCTCCGCGCCCCTCCAGTTAATTCTAGATTTGAAGCTTTCGTGACTGCAAGGCTTCAAACTCTTTGATTTTTTTCGGTAAAGTCACGTAGGTAAAAGATAAAATAAGACAAAATAAATGAAAACAACTAAATAGACTCCTCCCCCCCCTAACGCTTTATATAAACACATTGTCTCTGAAGAGCTCTCTTCATACGCTGCACTGGTTTTGCTGGGGCGGTCATACCTGATGACGGATGCTTGTGTTGCTTCCGAAACGTCGTGATTTAATTGAGTTCTTTTCATTTATTTTGTTTTATCTTTTACCTACGTGACTTTACCGAAAAAACCAAAGAGTATGCCCCTCCAGTTGTTGTGAATAGAAGCTTTAAGCCACCAGCCTCAATAAGTCTGAAGCATGCCCCTTCAAATATCTGTGGAAATGAACCTACAAGCCAAATATTGATACTTTTTCGCAAAAGGACATTTTGCAGTACGTTTTAACATTTCCTGAAGGTGCTGTTATTTTTTTCCTCTTTAGACTGTGAAACCTCCAATTTGCATTAACAAAAAATCAAATGTCAAGCTGCAGGTGTTGGTAGCAGGGACAGAAGCTGGAGTATTAATCTCTCGGGGCTTCCCCCCACTGTGTATAAGCAGGATTATTTTATATGAACAGCTGCTACACAGAAAACCCTGCAGAAATGACATCTGCGTGAGCGCTTGGCAGCAACTGCACTCTTCATACTCGTGGGCGCAGGATCAACAACTTGTATCACTGCACTCATGACGCTTTGGCATCGTTTTGGAAAGCTTCATTGATTTCTATTTTATTTTCAAATTGGAAAAATGAACACTTAAAGCTGACCCAAGAGTAAACCTCTGCTGGCTGTAAATAAGATTAATTTCACAAAAGCTACAGGCTGGTAAATGATAGAATCATAAAAATAGGATTCTATATTTACCGTAAGACTGTTTTAAATGGTTGCAGATGCAGCAACATGATTACCACCGTAAGTCATATTCACAAGCAGGATCAGATATTTATCATGATATACATTTATAACCCATAAGCCTCCGAAGGTTATAGACACGTGGCTTTTTGTTTCCGATGCAGCTTCTTTAGAATATAACCAATGCATCACCATCAATGTGATTATTGCTTTCATTATAACACTAATTTTTGGCCCAGCAAGCAAAGAAAAGTCGGATTTGATTATTAATTCACTTAAACCACACAGTCCCGCATCATTTCCTTACAACTAACTTATTATTCAATCAAGAAACCACAAATACATATTCGTTGAAAAACAACAGCCAATGTGTACGGCCTCCGTGGTGCGGAGTTGGTCCCATGACCCACCTGCAGCCGGCCGTCAAGCGTCCGCTGAATGGTGACGCACTTGCTGGGGTGAGCGCCGTTTGTGGTGATGGCCGTGATGAGGGAGTCCAACTCGTCCTTCTTTTCCTTCAGCTTCTTGACGAGGCTTTCGATGGCCCTCTTCGAGAAGGACTCGCTCTCCCCGCCTTGCCGGTGGCACATGAGGCTGTGCACAATGCTGAGGCAAGCATCGTTGCTCGTTGGTGTTCCCAGCGACATTTTAGGAGTTCTCTTTCTCAGACTAATAATCTTCCGTTAAACGCCTGCAGTACCTGAGAGATGTAAAAGCTGAATGTATACTTCTTATCTCATATAGATGTATACAGTGCCTTATTCCAAGGTGCTTTGCAACAATTATTAAAATGTACATAAGATGATAGTGGTTGAAGATTGGGGTTATTAAAAGTGGTGGTGTGGTTATGTTGACAGAAGAGGTGGGGAGTAGTTAAGGAGGGGTTTGGGTAGTGATAGGGGTCGGGGTCAGGGTAGGGGTAGTAGTAGGGGTAGGCCTGGTCGTAGCTTGGGGGCGGGGGCAGCAAGTAGCAGTAGGATCGGCTAGGGAGAAGAAATGGGTTTAAGGGAGGTACGGAAGCAGGTTAGTGAAGGTTACATTTAAAATGTATATCATTAAAAATATGTTTTAAATCTTCAAACGCAAATTCTAGTCTTCCGATGGCTACAGACCGTCGGAGACAAGATCAGGATTTGGCGTCTCTATCGGCTAGAATGAAATTCTAACATGACTTATTAGAAAAGTATTGCGTTGCAGTATGACGTCTCTAACCCCATGACCTTCCGAAGAGTGTTCAGGAGGAAGGCGTCACAGAGAAACCCAATCTCTCCATCCACTCCGTCTTCTCAGGAGTCACCATTTACATTTGGCCTAATGATGTCGAAATGACCCCATGTCCCACCACCGCTGCCTAAATGTCAGAATCTTTCAGAATCTTTATTTGTCTTTGAGGAATCCGATGCTATGAAGATTTTTTTCACAGTTCCTCTGGCGAGCTCTCTTTTCCACGCGCCACTCTTTCGAGTTCACAAATATTTTGCAGAATGTAGGCGTCTCTGAAAAAAAACAACAACGGTAAGACATTAAATATTATAACTGACTAATTCTGACAGATGTATAGTTTGCTACAATGTTGTCAGTAGAACAATAATAGTAAAACTTTCCAGCAGCATACGAGCAAATGCATAACATCCACATCGTCAACAACGTGCAGTCATTTAATGTCCAGTGTAGAGCCATTTACAGAGACCAGCAGTTTCTGACAGTTGCCAGGAAACTCATGCAAGAAACTACCAGACCTGTAAGTTGAACTCAATGAACCCATAATACCAGCAACTGCATGAGCCTACTACTGTTGAGTTACAGCATCGTGGTCCAAACATAACATTTAAAAAAACATTAGCAGGAAATACAATTGTAAACAAAAATTATGCTATTCATGGAAAGTGTGCGTTCACTCAAATTCAGGAGTTCCCTATGTGCATTCTGGTTTTCTCCATCAAGCAAAACAATTAAGAATACAATCCATCGATCTCAATGCAGGAGCCTGCTGCAGGGATTGAGTGTCAGTGTCACTTCCGTGGGTGAGGGAATCACCCACGAGCCATAACCAGCACTCATCTATGCTCCCCCCCCCACTCCCGACGAGCCATTGCTGGAAATTCCACATTCATTTGGCGGGTATTGGTCTCCAGGACACGACGAGTTCGGTTCTCAACCAAACGCAGCGATTGCTACCGTGGGGTGGATTTTCCACCACTGGCTCATGACCACCAATAATATATGAGCAACACCGCTCACGTCGAGTGTGATGGTACGAGGTCACTCACGCGCCTATTTCACCCCAGGCAAGCCTCACGCCGTAACTCCCTTCACGTGGTCTTATGGGTAAAACCAGTCTCGGATTAAGCTCGTTCTGGGCCTGTAGCATATGTTATAGAGGGGACCTAAATAAATAAATATTAAAACACACATTTTTTACTTGCATGGTCAATTGTTTTTTTTCATTTGCTCTACAGCCAGATAATAGGACAAATCGCTAACCTTAAATACCCAGTCGTTCATCAAAGGCGGTATAGTACTATAGTAATAGAGCAAGTGCAGAATAACTGAACCGGAATTGATAGCTTGAAAACATTGAGCGCGGGGCCCTTGAAAGTGCGGGGCCCGTAGCATCATAAGTAGCTACTTGTGCTACTGGGATAATCCGGCACTGGGTACAACCCTTCAAGATGGTACTGCGAGACGACACAGCCCAGAGCGGGTCGTCGAACTTGTGACCTCGTGACGTGCGGGTCGGGGTCCCGAGGATCAATTGATTAAAGGGAGTCCCTCGCACGAGACGATCTTCGGCTAAGAAGGGCTTTACTGAAATCCTTCAACCTCTGCACCCGCAGGAACCATTATCTTCAGGAGCCCCGGGGCAGACGTCACACACCCCCTTCATAATATAGGTTTTTGGATCAGATCGCGTTATTTATAAATGTGTCGTAACCTTCCACCACCCGACACGGCCAAACAGTAAAAATGTTTTGATTTATTGGGCGGGTCGTTGTCTTTCAAATTTTCTTGCTGTGGATTTCACACCTGATTATGATTGCTTGTGTTGCAGTCGAAACGTCGTGATAATTTGTTTTATATTTATATTATTGTATTATTTCCCTTCTACGTGACTTTACCGAAAGAACCAAGAATAAAAATAATAAAAAAATGTCACGTTTTTCAAAGGACAAAATAATGCACTTCTTTGAGTACGACGTTTCGCTGATAATTACAATCAGCTTAATTATCTTAATTATCAGCGAAACGTCGTACTAAAATTTTAAAATGCTGTTGATTCTCTCTTCAACACACCGGTGGGCTAAATAAGTGAATTATTTTGTCCTTTGAAAAACGTGACACGTGTTTTACCGTTTGGCCGTGTCGGGTGGTGGAGGGTTACGACACATTTATAAATAACGCGATCTGACCCAAACACCTATATTATGAATAATATTGCTAATATTGGTCGCGAAAGCCTACTACGTGTTAAATTGAAACCCCCCTTGTATTCACCCCCTTGTATTTACCCCCTTGTATTCACCCCCTTGTATTCACCCCCTTGTATTCACCCCCTTGTATTCACCCCCTTGTATTCACCCCCTTGTATTCACCCCTTGTATTCACCCCCTTGTATTCACCCCCTTGTATTCACCCCCTTGTATTCACCCCCTTGTATTCACCCCCTTGTATTCACCCCCTTGTATTTACCCCCTTGTATCTACCACGTGTCCCTACGCCGTGTCCCTCAGATCTTCGTGGATGGGGGCTCCTCTATCCAACGCCCTTCCCTCTCGCCTTCCTTACCGGCTGCGTTCCCGTCGCCTCCCATTGATATGAATGGGGCTGCTGTAGTCTGCCGCTGTCCGAGGCCGAGCCAAAGAAGACGTGCCCCCCCCCCCCCCACTAAACAAACTTAACAACCATGATCGGCACGGCGAAACCGTTCACAGCCCCACCGGATGCGTTTGCTCCCAGCTCCTGAGGTCACCACCACAGCTCCCGGAGACGACAGCCACACGATAACCACGCCGCCGCTGTGGGTCGTCACCCAGCGCGTCCATAACACCCAACAACAACCGCCCCCATTCGCCACGAAGTAGCGGTGACGTCACAAAGGCGCTTGTACCAGGCTAGGTGCACTTTGAGCACGCGGTGAAGGCAGGTCACGGGACAAGAAGACAGAGTTGTCCCGTGACCTCTGAGACGACTATCGGATGGACCACCGGCAAACTGGTTCCGTTTTAATAACTCCGCTCGTTGTTGTGAGCGTCGCTTGCCCCGGGCGGCCCAGCAGCGCCGTGCACACACGACGCATCTCGACGCCGCTGGCACCGACATCGGCGTCGACGGGACCGCAACTCGGCGGCTCGAACTCGGTCAATCTCGCGTCCACCATAGGCGAAGGACAGCCTGAAGCCACTTTTAACCCAACACAATCGCCGCGAACATCACAACAACAGCAACAACAACAGCAGCACGCGCGCGCATCTCCACCACCATCACTCACCTCCAACCACCACAACCTCGTGCTGCTCATCACACGGGCTGCCCGCAGCAGAAGACCACGCGCCGCGGTAGAGTGACGAGTGGATAGTGCGAGTTGTTGTTGTTGTTTGTTGTAGCCGGTCGGAGTTTTGTTGTTGTTGTTGTTGTGGTGGTTGTTGTGGTGGTTGTTGTTGTGGCGCTCATCAGCTCCACTCGGCCCCCCCACCCACCCCGCGTCTTGGCCGCCCTCTACAATCCCTAGCGCGCACAGGGCCGCTCGCCTCGCGCGATTGGCTGGCGCTGCGTCGCGTGACGAGGCCGCGAGCCAATCACCGCGCGCGCGCGCTCTCCTCCACGCCGCAAGCAGCGCCCATCCGCGGTGGGAAATGTAAAGCGATTCACGTTCAGGGGCCGCAGGCGGGAGGGGGGCCACGGAATCTGAACAGAGCCCCTCCCCCCTCCCCCCCCGGAACGTGAATTAGCGGAGCCCGGAGGGGCGGGGCAGTGGGTAGGAGGAGGGGCTCCAGGGGAGATGGGGGAGGGGCTCCAGGGGAGATGGGGGAGGGGCTCCAGGGGAGATGGGGGAGGGGCACCAGGGGAGATGGGGGAGGGGCTCCAGGGGAGATGGGGGAGGGGCTCCAGGGGAGATGGGGGAGGGGCTCCAGGGGAGATGGGGGAGGGGCTCCAGGGGAGATGGGGGAGGGGCTCCAGGGGAGATGGGGGAGGGGCTCCAGGGGAGATGGGGGAGGGGCTCCAGGGGAGATGGGGGAGGGGCTCCAGGGGAGATGGGGGAGGGGCTCCAGGGGAGATGGGGGAGGGGCTCCAGGGGAGATGGGGGAGGGGCTCCAGGGGAGATGGGGGAGGGGCTCCAGGGAGATGGGGGAGGGGCTCCAGGGGAGATGGGGGAGGGGCTCCAGGGGAGATGGGGGAGGGGCTCCAGGGGAGATGGGGGAGGGGCTCCAGGGGAGATGGGGGAGGGGCTCCAGGGGAGATGGGGGAGGGGCTCCAGGGGAGATGGGGGAGGGGCTCCAGGGGAGATGGGGGAGGGGCTCCAGGGGAGATGGGGGAGGGGCTCCAGGGGAGATGGGGGAGGGGCTCCAGGGGAGATGGGGGAGGGCTCCAGGGGAGATGGGGGAGGGGCTCCAGGGGAGATGGGGGAGGGGCTCCAGGGGAGATGGGGGAGGGGCTCCAGGGGAGATGGGGGAGGGGCTCCAGGGGAGATGGGGGAGGGGCTCCAGGGGAGATGGGGGAGGGGCTCCAGGGGAGATGGGGGAGGGGCTCCAGGGGAGATGGGGGGAGGGGCTCCAGGGGAGATGGGGGGGAGGAGGAATCCGATGAGCTATGAAGCTCTTTTTTCACAGATGTCCAATTCATGTTGCTCATTAAAAAACGCAACAGCAAAAAAAAAAGACACGTCAACGCGTATTTATTTTGCAATTTGGATTTATTTTCAGCAGGAATTACGAAATTGTATTTAAAATGACATACAAATGCACTTTATTAACAACATTACCAGAGCACCACATAAGACAGCAAAACAACAGTGGTTCTCATTTTTTTTTACGACCAATGAAAGCAAATCATTTGACACAACCCACCCATTCCAAGTGATTATCACACACACACACAGACGTCACTGTTGTGGGCAACGCGTTAAGACACATAAAGCCACGAAAGTGATGCCACCTAAGGCGGTGTGACCCACACAAAGCGAGAAAACTGCTGCTCTGGGCTCGTGGGCCTCAAGCCGAGGTCGTGGAGCCGGAACTATGAACCAGCGGGGGGGGGGGGGGGGGGGCAGCGGCCGCACGAGGTGAAATCTTGCCCCGGTGCTCGTTCGTCCAGAAGGCGCTCCGGCCAAACCCGCAATGGGGGTCTAGGGGGGGTTAGAGGCTAGAGCCAAATGTCGGAGCTGCAGTCCCCGCCCGGGTAGCGCACCTCGTGGGCGAGCACGGGACCGTCCGGCTCCGCGCCGTAATCCACCAGGAAGCGCTCGTTCACGGAGAGGCCGCCCTTCTGGGTGTCCACGTCGATCTGCAGCATCACCGAGCCCTCCCTGCGTGGCGCACCGCAAACACAAACATCCCCTCCCGTGTAGCCTTGGCACGGGCCGCTGGGGCAAGCGCTGTTGGGCGAGCGGCGTTTCGGCCACGGAGGCCGAAACGGCACACGAAGGGGGTGGGTGGGTGGGCAGCATCGGCACGCCGGGTCACCCTGGTCCCCCGAGCGGCGGTGTTTACACACCGCGCCAAGTGCTCAACGGGGGCCGAGTCGACCCAGAGGAGGCGCAGGACTGGTCCAGATAACCGTCACTGGTGTTTGCCGTGTGTGGGAATCGAACTCGGGTCGCCGGGTCACACACACACACACTCGTACATTTCGAAATAGTGCCTGGACAATGCCGTCCTGCCCCATACTCCCGTGCATAAGCCGGTTGTTCAATCGGTATATGTTGCGAGACAAACTGGGTTTTACAAGAAATTCTCAAGTCTACTAACAGTTATCTGCCGGCTTGCGACGAGTAAACAGCAGTTAGGTGTGACGTTGTACTCGTGCTGCACTTGCTGGAAGATAACCTCAGGTAAGTGCACCGCGGTTTGCGTCATTACTTCTGAATGGAATGCATCCGAGAGGACGTTCCACTGGGGAGATGGAGCGACAAAGTCAACTGCTGTGCAGGTTCCGGGTCGATTATCACATCGCAGGATAGCGAAAGGTGAAGAAGGCTTGGGAAGGCCTTCATCCAGCAGTAGATTGATCATGGCTGACAATGATGATGGTGACAACTTATACGTATTCTTGGTTCTTTCGATAAAGTCACGTAGAAGGGAAATAATAAAATAATAAAAATAAAATTATACAATTGTAAAAATAAAACGATAATTTTTTTTATTTGTATTACTTTAGTATTTCCCTTCTACGTGACTTTACCGAAAGAACCAAGAATATGAATCCCTGCAGTCACGAAAGCTTTAAATCGAAATGTAACGTATACGTACTTGATCATTTCAGGGTAGAACTGCTTGTCCCAGGCGCTGTAGAGGGAGGTGGTGACATAGAGGCGCTTCCCATCCAGGCTGAGCTGGATCATCTGGGGCCCGCCAGGTACCCGCTTGCCCTGCGCACCGCATCGAGGCATGAGCTCTCACTGTCGTAGATCCTGCACCTCTTGATTTGCACGGTTGGCTACGTACGGCGCTAAAGAAGTTCAACATACGTACATACATCCCCTCGATTCACAGGACTAAAAGCCTCAAATCCTCACCATCAGAGCCAAGGATCTGAGCTGCGATTTAACCTACGGATATGCAATGTCGCCGATTCAAATGAAATTGTGTTGTCTGTACAGGGTGATCGATAGAAGTGTTTAATTTACGGTGCGTGGTTTGGTGAGAAGGAATGAAGAAAGTAAGAGAACAAGGGTCAATGATGATGATCCTGCTGTTGCTGTTAAAGCTTAATACATTACTGGAGAAACGTCGTACTCAAATTGTAAATGTTGTGGATTTATTCTACAACATAACGGTGTGCTGTACTTGTAACGAATTGGCACGTTCTGTTTATGTGACAAACCTTCCTAATTGGCTGTGTCGGGTGGTGGCGGAGTTAATGACACATTTATATTTACGCGATCTAACCCAAAAAAACCTGTATTATGGATATTGATCGCAAAAGCCTACGTGTTAAACTGAAAGAAATGAAGTTGAATTGGGCAGGAGAGGTCACAAGCACGACTGATGAGAGAGACGGAACTAACTGCCGAGGGGAGGCCGAGAGATGACATCACAAAGGGTTCACAAGCCTTGACTGGAGAGAGGGGTAGCTGGGAAAATGGAGGAATGTAAGGAAATACCGTGGGAAGTGACCGGCTGACAACAAAAGGGAGCTTGGCCCTGGTGTGACGACTAAACAATGTATGCACAAATAACCGAAGCTAATTGAAGGAGGGCCTGCCAGCTCTCCATGCATCCCAGTCGAGCCTCCCAAAAATTGGGAAGTCGTATTTCACACTCACGGCGTGACAAGGCGTCAGTCAGCTGTCCGTGGCGGTGTGTTTTTTCCGCAACATGCCGTGAGCCCAAAACTGGTCGCGATATTCACTCGAAATGTGTGGGACGATCATTTTGATGGAGCATATAAAAAAAACCCCACAAATTTGGGCTTTAAAGAGCAGAAGATAATGGCTTAAATGAGCCCTTTTGGATGCATTTGTATTGAAATAAATTATACTTCTTTCTGGTAAATGCAGCCAGCAGCATTGATTCCTCACCTGCACCACCAGAGGTTCAGGCTGCTCCTTCAGCTCCTTGTCCTCGATCACTCGCACAGGGCCGCCCTTCAGAATGCTGCCTCCAATAAACACCTGCACGCACGCATCCCCACTCACATTACTCAGCTGGTGCTGTTAACAAAGACATAGATCCCCTGTATAGCCTTAATAGGCTGTTGAGGAAAGTTCTGTTAGCGAGCATCTATGAAGGCCAGTACCAGGGCACACGAGGGGGTGGGTGGCCAGCACCACGCCCTTGTTAACAAGCAGGTGATGGTGAATTATGAGGTCAGCACCATGTCCGGGGGGGGGGGGGGGGATGGTTATCCACGGGTGACTCATAAAGTGGGTCGCAGTCGTAGGTCTGGCCCTCCCACTTTGTGGGTCACCCGCGGGGCACCCATGGGGTCACCCAGTGGGTATTCCGCCCTGGTGGTGAGGATGTGAAAGCGGCACCTGTCCCACGAGCTTGGGGTGCCGCGTGTCCGTGATGTCGTACTGGCGGATGTCCCCGTGCACCCAGTTGCTGAAGTAGAGGAAGCGGTCGTCCAGCGAGAGGAGAATGTCCGTGATGAGTCCTAGAATCAGCGCAGCGCGTTCGGAGGGTTCGTTCCAAACATCACGCTTTCATCGGGCAGCGCGGTGACGACACTCGTGCCTCGCAGCAAGAAGCACCTGGGTTTGATTCCCAACTCGAGATCCTGTCGGTGCGAGGTTTGTATGCCCCCCCCCCCCCGTTGTGTAACTGGTGTTGGCCAAACGTCTCAATGCTGAAAATTACTTGCAAATTACTCAATTGGGGATTTCACAAAAATCACTTTTTGAGTGTCTCCCAGAGCAGTGCCACAGACAATAAACCTTGTGTGTCAACGTACCCGGCATCTCTGGCAACATCCAGCCCTCCACCTTCTTACTTGGCACATCGATGACTTTCTCTGCAGCCCAGTCCCCCTTCTGTGTAT